GGGGTGGGGTGGGGTGGGGGGGGGGTAATGCTCGTTTGATTCGATGGCTTCGTGGTGAAAGGCGATAAATGAGCCTTGATATTCTTCAACTCGGCAGCCGAATTCAATAGCGAAGCGGAGCGAGGTAACCGTTAAGTTCGAAACCGAGGGGTGGTAAAAGGGTGCAAAAGAGAGAGAGAGAGAGATATAGTAAAGGGTGTCGGCGGTTGCTTGCCCATCCCACGAGGGAGACGGAAACAGGGCTGAGGGGGGTTGGTAATCGTCCTTGCCCTGGTTGCCGTTGTAGCTGCCAGCTAGGGGAGGGGTAGTTGCTTGGTTTATCATCCCCTACACATACATTATTGCGCTCGCGCACACTCACGCACGACAATACTTTTCCTTCTTCCTACTACACGTAATTTCTCTCTCGCTCACACACACTCTTTCACTTATTGTTACTCTCTCATTCTTTCTTTTTTTCTTTTTTTCTTGTTGGTTCTTTTTCCAAGAAAATGATTTCATCTTTCATATTTTCCCTACTTTTTCTATCTCCCTCTTTTCTTTCTTTCTCTCGCTCTCTGTTTTTATTTTTTTGTTCATCTATTTGTAAAGCTAACACGTTTGTGTGTGTGTTCGGCTTTCTAAATCCTCACATCATCTGTTAGGTTGAAAAATGGCATTTATCATGCCATGCACATTTATCTTTACGTTTTCCCTTTTAAAAATTTTACTTTTTTATCATTTCTTTTCTTTCTCATTCACTCGTCATCTTAAATTGTATTATTATTATTATTATTATTATTATTATTCGTAATATACATACGTTTTAAACGTTAACCCTTCTTTGCATGATATTTTCTTTTCTTTTAAAATAAATCAGGGTGATGTAATTAATGCTCTAGATTAAAGGAAAAATATTGAAAAAAAATCCTAGTGTTATTTTTTGACAACTGCGTTTTGTTGTACGCAATAGTCGCTTAAAAAGTTGCCAGCAACAACAAATATACAGTACAAGGGTTTTGAGTAGCTTTTTTTCTTGACTAAATATTATGATTGAAATTTCCATCATCATGCAAAGAAGGATTAATAATAAACTTTTCGCAATATAGTTATTATTTCGAATAAATTATTCGAGTATCAAATGATGGAGGGTGGGTGGTGGGTGTTGGATCTAGGATCTGTTATCTGGGTATTATAAAAAAGAAAAATAAAAAACAAAAAAGAAACTATACATCGTTTAAATTTATGCCTACTTTAACTCTTTATCTCTCTGTCTTTTCAAACACCTCTTTCACCTCCTTCTCCTGCTCCTCCTCCTCCTCTTTCTTCTTCTTCATCTTCTTCTTCTTCCACTCGGCAAGTTTTAATGTTGGCACGGTTAACATAAGCTTTAGTTATGTCAAAGGAAGTATCAGCAGCAAAGTAACAACAACAGCGTACAACGAACACACATTGCTTGCTTTTGTGTTTAAAAGATGTAGGTACTCTTGGCACTTGCGTTTATTATACCCTACATATAACTATGCTATGAGTTGACGATGAAAAAGAAAGAGAGAGAGAGAGAGAGAGAGATGACTGGGGATTGGTAGAGAGAAAAGAAGAGTAAAAGGGGTGAGCAAAAAAAAAATTAAACGTTACTAGCAATCAAAGGGAAGAACGTCAACGGTGGGGTGTGTTATGGTGGTTGGTACACGTCAATTGAAATAATCTAATTATTATTAATATATATATATCTAATATATATATAATCTAATTATTATTAATATATATAATATAATTATTATTAATTTATTTATTAATATTATTATTTATTTATTAATATTATATTATCATATATATAATCTAATTATTATTAATATATATATAATGTAACATCGAATTATAAAACTCGTTGATTTTGTCACAGTAGAGAGAGAGAGAGAGGGGTAAAAACAAGAACTAAAAAAAAGAGAGAGAAAACAAAAAATTAGATTTGAATTTCTGTGATAGTCGTGTCATAGTAATTACTAGTATTACTATGAATAATGAGTATAATCATAATATATTGCGTGATGCACATACACAACGAATGATAAGAGGAATATCGTATCCTCATGTATCGTAATAAGAATTTATAATAAAATAAAATGTCCAGTTGCTGAAGAAGTCCCAATAAAGGGACGAAACGTCCAACTTAGTTAAATTAAGTTCTACTTCTTTTTATGTCCAAGTTCCCTATTAACCCTTATCATTAAAGGATATGAGGAATTTTCTTTTTTTTCTCTTTCCGTTTTTCCCCTTTTGTTTTTTCCTCATTCTGTCTGGCTTGTCTTCCTCTCTGATTATTTCCTCGCACATGCGTACGAGATGACATTGTTTTAGCCTCGTAGCAATGTATTATAAATATTAGAAAGGTACCTTTTTTAAAAAAGAATAAGCTGGTGTATCTCTTTCTTCATTCTTTTTCTCCCCCTCTCTCTCTCTCTTTCTCACACACACTATTTACACTTCTTTTCCTAGTCGGAGAACATAATATTAATGACGTGAACTGGAAACCGTGTCGCATTTGTCTTCTCGGTAGCTCGATAATCGATTATTCTCACGCCAGTTGCGTTTTGCATCAAGGTGTGTATATAGTAATGTTAATAGTTATATATTCAATGTAGGTATATATATATATATATGTATATATACATATGTGATAAAGCGCAACGGAATATGGTTTACTCTATATATCCATTGTTCGATTATACGCATAAGATAATTACCCGTTCTGTGTTATTGGCATTCAGTATTAATCATAGATTGAACGGCGTTTATTCTCTTATTGCATATACAAATAAATCGTATTGGTATATATGGTGTTACAGAGAAAGAAGAGAGAGATGGCGATAGTTAGTTACATCTACACTTTTGGATTATATGCATTTATTATGTGTATGTGTGTGTGTGTACATTCTCTGAACATTTGCACGTGTGTACACACGATGATTGATTTAGGCTACTCGTAATATGACTAATCTCTATATTGAATTTTAATATCGTTTTTTGTTTAACACGTAAGATTTGAAATGAATGTTTCTTTGATTAAAAATATTGTCTAATAATTTTTGTCGATAGAAAAAGTAACACGTTAGATTAAGGGGTTACATGGGTTTACACCGGGAAAAAAGAGCATATTTTCAACAATTTTTTTTTTTTCTATATAAAAAATGGAATTCTTATTCAAACTTTTTATAGTATTTAAGATACATATTTAAAGAAGATTTTCTGAATTTTTGCTTGAAAAATATTTTAAACTCAGCCATTGCGACGTCATTTCCGGTGACCCCACCGAAAAAAAGTGTATTCGCGTTGACAGCAGAACTTATAAACGGTGGGGGTTTTTCTGTTGAAAAAATTGGATCTTTTAGTGAATACTTAAAACTAGAAACTGGACAAAGGAAAAAGAAAAAAATTGAAATTTGGATTTTTGGCAACGTTTTTAGCAAGAACATTCAAATTTCGCTACAATTTGCACCACATTGTGGTTTCTTAAAATTCGATTTTATGAAAAAAAACGAAAATCCTTCGTCCAAGTCCTTGTCAATAGTATCACGAAGACGTGTAGTAAATTTCATGAAAATCGGTTAAATAGTTTTCGAGAAATCTTGACGACCGACTTTAGAAAAAGCGTTTTGAGAAAAACGCATTTAAAGATTTGAGTGCTGGTATAAGAACCATTAAAGAGTGCAACTTCCCAGGGTTCTATCTTTAAAACTACTACTCCTATCGACTTCAAAATTCAATACAATATTCTAGATGAGTTGTAGAATTGAAAAAAAAATAAAAAGAAAAATTTTGTTGAAAGTCCCAAACCCATGTAACCCCTAAAAGAAAGAAAGGAGAAACAAAACAAAACTAACTAACTAAAAAACTAAAAAGAAAGTTATACTTAAAAGCGAGTTGACGGTGTCGGTGTAACACTTGCAA